AGGCCTCTGTTGATGTGTTAGATAATGATAATCTTGTGTGATGGAATCACCATTCACTTTTAGACCTTTTATGTTTGTTCATGCTGCAAAGGGGGTTATGTTGGTTTTTAAAAAGAAATATATATATTCACTTTACGGAAGGTATAGATGACATAAGTGCAACTCTAGGAGCTCTGTAAAATTCACTTGCTGAATCAATGACTTCAGCAAGTTAACAAAATAAGTAGCAACATCCATTTATCCCTCTCTCCAATAGTTTCCTATACTAGCTTCCTAAAAAACAAAAAGAGGGCCCATGACTTTTTCTTTGTGTCAACCCAGCTGTTCGCTGCCACCTCCCTGTTGCATGCTCCTGTAGCCAGGCATTGCCGCCCCTCAGCCAGGTGTGGTTGCCCCCCAGCCACCTGCTGCCGACCTTCAGATGGCAAAACGGGCCACAGCCGTCTGCTGGCCTCATCCTAGCCGGCCAGGCGGCCCCTGGCCACTACCAGCCAGCCCCCCCCCAGCCAGCTGCAGCCGCCTGCAGCCAGGCCAGCAGTGGCCTGGGCTTGGCCAGTGCTGGCCAAGGCTTTTTTCATTGTTCTGCAGCTGTTGGCAGTATGAGCATTCATAATTCACTTGTGAAAAAAGAATTGGATTGGTCTTCGGACGCCGATAGTATTCAATCATTTCTCTCCTGGTATACCCCTGCATAGTCGTAGGAAACGTGCAAGAAAACATGGTGGTTCTGTCCCGGAATGTATTGTCATATATTGAGATAAACAATGAGGGCACGAGAGGATGTTTCAGGATTATTTGGCTATGATCCTACGTAGCCAGCCTTGGCCATGCTGTATGAAACGTTCATTAAAAAAAATCAACGGCGAACCTCTGCCTCTAGATAGTAGCAGCTGTCCTCTGGCCACCAGCAGCCACAGCCTCCGGTTTCCTGTGGCTAGCTCTGGTCAGCCGTAGTTACCCCTGGCTGGCCATAGTCAGTCCTGGCCATTGCCCAGTGTTGCTGTCACCGGCCAGAGCTGGCTACGGCATGACCGGACGCACAATTGATGAACTAAATGTAAAAAATCTATTCATGGGATGGCAAATTAAGTTGCAATATAAAACAAAATGCCACTACACATATGAATGTACTGTTCATCAACCAAAAATACAAGAGCACAACAAAGAACAATTTGCCATCCACATATGAATCTACTATTCATCGACCAACAAATCTATTTCACATGTAAAACAAATTGCAACAAAAAAACTGAAAGCATTGTTCATCGACTGACACGTATACATGATTTTTCATATGATATAATATTAAAATACTGTGTCAACAAAAAAAAATCATCCTCCAAACCCCTGCCCCCAGACAGGAGCAGCCACCCTCCAGCTAGCTGCAGCCAGCCCTGTCCTGCCGTAGCCAGGTTAGGACTGCCCCTGCCGAGGCCAGGGCCGGTCTCAGCCGGCTGGGTGTGGCCAGCAACTGCTTGGCGTGGCTGGCCATGGCCAGACGCGGCTGGTGGCTGGCCGGGTGTGGCTGCAGCCACCCAGGTCGTGGCCATGGTCGGTCAGGTGGTGGCCGGGTGTAGCCAGGTGTGGCCAGGTGATGCTAGGTGGTGGCTAGGTCTGCGTACCTTCAAGGGGCAGCGGCTGCAGAGGTTGGGAACTCCAAAGACTCGCATGAAAATAGAGAAAAATGTGGTAGTTTTTTTTTAAAAAAAAAAAACAGGTGCCGGGGGGAGATACGTGCTTCCTATCCGGCGCAGAAAGTTAGGAGTTGGAGGGGAATTTTTGCAATTTCTTTTTTTTTAAGGAGTTGTTTTACCAAGTTGTTGGAGGTTTTTTTTGTCCTTTTTGCCAAAAAACTCAAATTGGGAGTTCATTTACAAAGATCCTAGAGTTGCTCTAACTAGTTAAAACTGTAATTTTCCGAACAAGTTGCTAAAATTTTTGACAAATGCTTTCGACCGCAACTTTACAAATAAATCCAACATAGCACATATCAGTGCAATTACCACTACTACAAACTGGTCTTTAGTGGACATGTGGATGGAAGTGTTAAACTTTTCTGTTTTGGCTAGGCTGTAATTACTTTATCAAACTAAATCGCTTGGTGTAAGTAGATATTAACTACCAGTTTTTCATATGTATGCATGTGCTGTTCCACTGTTAAAGCCTCCGGTAAACTCGGGAGCTACTTTAGCCACGAGATTGCTCCACAACTGGTTCCAATGGATTTTAGGTTATGGATCTTTAGAATAGTCAATAGTTGGTATGGGTCTATCTGGAAGTTGGCTGGAAACCACATTGACATTTACAGAAGTTGATGGTTGGAACCTTTTCACTTTCTTAACACCATTATTGTGCATATTTGTTTTTTCATAGAAGTGCTATACAAAAACCATTTAACATCGGGGAGAACTACTTATATTTACCACATATCTGATGAAATAACTGTGTTAGTTACTCTGTGTTCAGCTATTTTGGTTATAAAGTCTTTGACAAGGAGTTGACACACTCTTTGCATTTTTTCTTTGATGTTTGTTGCTACATTTGTCTGCAGTCTAATGCAAACCAAGAAATCTAAATGAGATCAATTCTTTTGCAGATCACGGTAGAAGTCGATAGTGATCCAAGAGCTGCATATTTTAGGCAGGCTAAGAATGGCCTCTACATAAGGATGGCATTGCTCAAACTTCTGCTTGTTGGTCACTGACATTTCTGCTAGTGCATGAGCTTCTGCTGTGTCAAGTGATGAGAAAATGTACTAATAATCAGCAGCTCCTGTCAAAATTCAACGTTCCTGTGCTGTGCAGGTAATAAAAGTCTGGATCCATGTGAGAGTGCAGCAGTATTTTGCATGGCCAATGTTCATGTTCAAATCGTGTTCGAAATAGAGTTTTGCTGTTCTCATGTGATGTGAGAACAAGGAACATCACTGATTTTGCTTGCACAAAATCATTTGACCGATTCAGTGCTCTGCTACATTTTTATCTAGCGTGGCACATACATATTTAGTATTGGCAGTAAAATTTACCTGCATGATTCTTTGGTAGGATAATATCGCTGAGCTACCTCTGCTCAGTTCAGGCTACTTGCCTACTTGTGCATAACAACACTACTAATTTGGACTTTGATTAATGCTGCGGTTGTGCCATAGATGCTAAAGCAATAGCAAATAGCGATGGTGTTCAGTTCTGACAGCACTAGATACCTGACTGAATCATGAACTGATTGGCACTACAAATCCTGCTCAGCTTCCATTTTTGTATCACCAGCAGCTAGTAGTCTTTCTTGAGAAGTTGAGAATCTGTGGTGTATGTATAAATTTATTATTATAACAAGGAAAATGAAGATTAGCATGGCTAAACTACGGTAACATGTATTTCATCATTTCAGTTTAATTTGAGGAATTGGGGCTGTCAGATATGTATGTATACTAGGATTTGTGCTCATTGGCTTCATAGGCCTGATTCGTGGGATTTTGCAACCCCCCCCTGCCCTGTTTGTTCTCATATTTTTTGAAGGGCCTATGGGCTTGACTTTTGTTTTGTCAGCCTGATTTGCACTCTGATTTATTTTAGTTTCATTAAGATTGTGGTGTTGTGTTGAGATTGTATTGTATGTCTGAACTATATAATACCTCCATATGTTCTGAAAATTACTGATTGTTTCATTTGTTTCTTAAAGAATATCATTATACTTTTGTCAAAAGTTAAACTATCGTGAGTTTGACAAGTTTGTAAAGAAAGTATCAATATTTTAATTAGGTATACTATGGAAATAAATTTCATGACAATTTTAATGGTACTATTTTGATATTATAAATATTAATTTTGGTCTAATTTAAAATGGTTTAGCTTAGGACAAACTTAAATGATATTCTATTTGGGGCTTCTGAAATTACATTCTTTTTGGGATGAATCTCTCATACACATTTAATATAATTAACTTTACAAAATAACTTTGTTTTTGTTGAATTTTAACCTTATGAAATAGGAAAAAAAGGTAACTCAGAATTGTACATCTGATATCTTGTGTTAAAGCTATTGCAACCTAAAAAATTGCCAGTTTGTTAATCCGTGTGAAAAATCGACTAGTACAATCTAGTACTCTATAATAACAGATTGAAGCACTGATTTTAGGACAGACAAAACTAGTGCAACCACATGAGAGTGAATATGATCCACACCGTCACATGCACACATGACATATAGGTTGACCCTTTCCTTTTTCGGCTGTTGGGTAAGAATTGTATGAGCCCATCTCATGGGTGGGTCATAGATGGACTGGCCTCACACATGAAGATTCCTGGTCAGCATGCTGACACAATGACGCCCGCACAACCGTCCGACACACGCGGTTCGTGACTTGATGGTGAATGCATTGAGGACCGTGTCGCCATTTTCTACTGTATATTCGAGAATGGTGTTTCCATTCTTTTTTTTCAACGTACGTACTTCAGGCCTGGTAGCCATTTTTCAACGTACCTCCTCATTCCTACATGCCAATGATATGGTACTAGAGCATAATACGCACAGTCAAACTTTGATTTGGACACAAATTGCATAAATATGTAGAGTTAATGCGTAAACAGTACAGTTTTAGACAGATCAAAAAGCTATTGTTTGAGAGGCTATGATATTGACAATGTGGTTTCAGTAGGAACCAGCAGTGATCTTGTTCTCTGTTCTCCCCAATAAAAGCAACCTAAACAACTTTGCTAACTTCACTACTACTATCAACATGATAGACCCCTTATCTGTTCTTTGACAGAAACATGCCAAGCTAATAGCATTTCTTTAGAGCCTGGCAGGTATTTTTAAGTACATTTATTTATTTAATTTATCCCTTACATCTTACTAGGAATTTCTTACAAGATGCTTAGTCCAGTTTATGTAGTACGTAGATGTCACAAATCCAGAGCCAACTCTAGACAAATCCCTATATATCACCTCCCTAACTTAATTCACAGCTTCGTTCGTTCTTCACAGCTCAGTCAAATTAGGTCACTAGATGTCATAAACCGAGGCGTAGTCCAGGAACACCGTGTTGGTTTCAGGGGTGAAGTCCCAGCAACCCACAGGCAACTTTCCTGCTGTCTGGTCATAGCTCCACCAGTCCACATCCACCTGCTGCACACCGCCGCCGTGGACCATGCCGGCGGCAGCGTTCCCCTGCCGGTTGTCGTCACCGTAGAGCAGTTCTTCAAGTTCGGCCTCCATGCTGATCATGTTGGAGTTCTCCGCGCTTGAGGGCGAGGCGAGGCCGTTGTCCATGGCAGCACCCTCCAGCTGCGCATTCATCAGGTGCTGCTCGTTCAGCGAGCTGGACTGCCCTTGTTCAGCTATTGTCACGCTGCTGCCGTTGCTGTTGAAGCTGTTGTTGCTCTGGGTACTGGCCCTGCTGCTGCAGCCGGGCCACATCAAGGGGTTGTGGTGGGCGCCCAGCAGCGGGTTCTGCAGCTGCATGCAGAGCTGGATCCTTTCCATGGCCGACGCACTCAGCGCCACCGGTTCGCCGTCGTTCATGTTGTCGCCGGTGGACGTGGACGCCTCGGTCGCGACGGCCGCGCTCTGGCGGTGGTGGTCCTTGCGCCGCCCCAGGAGTCTCTTCTTCAGCTTGGTGTTCCAGTAGTTCTTCACGTCGTTGTCAGTCCTCCCCGGCAGCTGTGCGGCAATGATAGACCACCTGCCCATGATATGTTAACACACATGCTTAGCACTACACTTCAGTTTCAGCATGCATGCAGTACATACATACAGTCTAGCTAGTTGTAAAGAAGAGGCCGGGAGTGGTTGACTGGGTCTGTATGTGTACCTGCTCCCTATGCTAATGTAGAGGCTGCAGATGATGCTGTCCTCCTCTGGGGTGAAATCGCCATGCTTTATGTTGGGCCTCAGGTAATTGAGCCACCTCAGCCTGCAGCTCTTGCCACACCTCTTCAGCCCTGCATGCAGTTTCATGAATCAGTTAATCATCGGTCACACACACATAAACACAGCTGAACAACTGGAATCGAGCTAAAACATGTCTGGCAATGCATGGCTAGATGGATGAGCAAGAGTTAATCAGTTCATCTTCACCACGTACCTATCTTGTGTGGCAGCGCAATCCAGTTGCCTCCGGTGCCATGCTCCTCGATGTAGTTCTTGAGCATTGCATCCTCCTCCGGCGACCATGGCCCCTTCTTCACCGTCGCCTTGTCGCAGCAGGGTGCTCTCCCCATCTCTTTCTCTTCTCTGGTAGTCTCTCTCCCAACCTGTGTGTGTATGAGCAGGCAGGTGTGTTGGTGCTGCGCTGCTGGTTTGGTCGTGGGGTAGTGGTATGCGGTGCCCCCAGGATTTATAGGAGCTGGTGAGGGGGCTTAAAAAAGTACGGATATATGGTTTGACCTTGATGCTGACACAAGCTTTTGTTTCGGTGTACTTTGGAGATTACTTTTTGTTTCCTTGGCCACCCTATGCTATAGTACTCCTCTGCTATGCTGCATAAGCAGAACAACAGAAAGGCCATGTTTGGTTACTCCTCCTAAAAGTTTTAGGAGCTAAAATCTGGATAGAATTTGCTTAAAAAATCAAACATCTTCTCCTAAAAGCTTCTAAAAACTTTAGGAGGAGCTAAAAACTTTAGGAGTTCCACCCCCTCTAAAAGCTTCTAAAATTCATCCTGGACCCCCACTACCTCTCCTTTATTGTCCTCTGCCCTCTCTCTCTCTCCTAGAGGAGGGCTGCATGGTCTATTTGCTAGTGCATTTATTTCTTTTAGTCAGTTTTAGGAGATGGAACCAAACACTCTTTTAGGAGGTTTTAGCAGCCTCATAAAAGCTCCTAAAACTTTTAGCTCCTAAAAATTTTAGGAGCTTGAAACCAAACAGGGCCGTAGTATTTCTCAACTTCTGCGTCATGCATCCTGCTTTCTGAAACATGGATTGGTGTCTCAGCAACACTTTTTCCTAAACAATTTCAGATGAACTTCAATGCAATTATTTCTTCAAAAAATCATGATAGCATATTGACAAATACACTAGGATTTAGGACAGGTGAGGAATGCACGAGCTACGATGAACAGTTAGTACTCTGCAATTTACCATAGCCTGACGACCAATGCATAGAGATCAGCTTACGCTAGAACTAGGGTAGTGACTGGTGAGTCATGTAGTCGACGAAGCTAGGACGCCATCTATACTGTACGTTGAAACTGAACCAACTACTGTGAACTTAATTAAACTTACCGTAGGATTTAGGTCTATCTAAGAATGGAGCCTTTACTGAATCAATGGAACGTGTCAACGGATAAGAAGGCACTGCAATCTCCATTGTTTACTTCTTGTCTTCATCTAGCCATTAGAATCACTGGTACTGATGGGATAAGCATCAAGGACATTGACATGGGTTAATCATTGGATTCAGATATGATGAAACCAGGGCTCGAACACAGAGGTAAATAATATCTGATCCAACTCAGATCCCTGAGGAATTTCCATATGATACAACCCAGATCCTTGAAAAAAAATAGATTTTAAATTTTGAAAGAAACTAGCTGATTTTGCTAAAATCCAGATAGTTTCCTTCTAGATCTCTGAATGCCCCTATCCCCACCTACAATGAAAATAAGACATGATTCCTTTTCATTTCAAGCAAAACACAATCTTATTTCAACACTATGCCTTTATTTAGAAAAGGGGGGAAATGTGCTGAACAATAATCTATAATTTTAACTTTAACTACCTCCCAATTTTGCAATCATGCAAGATACTACAGTAAACACTACTATCAGTTTCCATTCCCATTAGTCATCAGTCAACACCCTCATCACGCTCAATGGCCTGTCAATATAATTCCCAGTCTGAATAATAATCTATCTATTTCGGACTGTAGTACCGTGCATGCAAATTAAGTCTCCATACGACGTCATCAAGGTTCCTCTCGAATTGGTAAGAGAATGGCATCACCAATAATTCACGTAGCAGTACTTTGACAGCAAGCGTACTCCTACGATGCGGCGTACATGCAGGCGTACACAGCTAGCGTAACACGGTCAGAATGACGAGTCCAACGCAAGTCGTCCTTCCATTCAGTTATGGATGTACTGCTGTGAACCCTAACTCCGGGATGGACCATGCGGAAGGAGATGGAGATTCATCACCAAACCAATGCAACGTTGGGGGACCCCGGCCCTTTGCTAGTGCTAGCTAGGCTGACCTGCCAAAAGTCCATGGGCAGTTGTAACTGACAATGTAGCAGCATCCTGAATGCATGGTGTCATCTGTTTTGACCCTCAGGACTTGTTCATCCCATAGCCGGATGTGAGATCATTCTTTACACACACACATATATATTTTGTCATGCCAATAATTCCATGTCATGCTTATGGACGGACAAATATGACACGGGACCTGCACAAGGTCCTGTTAAAAATGTAAGATTTAATAGAATTGTGATAGAGTTTCACAAAAAAATTAGTATGAGTTCAGAGTCCTGCAGTTATCCTATGAAATTTTGGCGTTCCAAAACATTTTATGGAAATGTGGTAAATAAAAGTTGGCAATGAGGATCAAGTAGGCTGTTTTTGGGAGCATGCATCTTTGCCTTTTTGTTTCATATTACTAGATCATTGACCTTTTGGTTCCTGTTTGCACTTTTTGTTTGCAAAAAAAGGGACCTTGCATCTTGGGGTGGTTGGTTGGTTTTAGAGTGATTCTTTACTATATTGTGATAATCCACAAGTTGCATACAAATCGTGATAATGATACCCATTCAACTGAATTTGATAAGAATATAAGCTGAACATTCTAGCAATGCAAGAGAACAGTTTGATCATCAAGGTGGAAAAAGCAGCACCTAGAACGATGCATCGGTTCTGTTAGTCCGATAGAACAAACGAAACCAAGATTGTTACTTAGGAAACATGCTCACAAACTGATTTATTTTCCAAAAACAGGTCCTTAAGTTTTACAAGATATTTGGGACTTAAATTGCTCACCGGTAATTAAATGAAAACAGTATTTTTTGAAACCTAGTTAACTTACTATCATATCCTTTGGTGCAGAATGCTAATCAGTCACATTTTCTAGTCTTCATCAGATTCTTCATTACCCTTCCCGTATTCTCAAGGACAGTACATGTACTGTATGTATACTCAAACATTTGAGCTACCAGCACTGGCAGCCTTCTTGATTGGAAGCACGTACACTTGTTCTGCATACATACCGTCTTGTCAGTATCTTCCTTGTTCAGAGCGAAGCAGGTCTGCGAAATTACATCCCAACGAGTACACTTTTGACTTGCTTGCAGGATGAGAAGTTGTTGAAGCTTCCTTCACTGGCCATGATGTATATACAATACCATTCTGTATGATTGCATATATCTTGTTCAAATAATTAACCAGAAGCTAGCAATGAAGATAGATGAAGATCAAGATGCTAATAGCGATGTTTAATGATACACACCGGAGTAGATGCATGCGTTTACTACCATCAGGAATATAATGTAGCTTTCATGCATCTCAGTGGTGTTAGTTGCTCTTTGCAGAAGTTAAGCGAGATGTATATCCAAGATGCTATCCTAAACAAAGTAGCATCAGTAAGCAAACTATGCCCTTAACATAACTACCAAAAGGTCAGACAGAAAGGAACCAATTAGTGACACATCCCATTAGTAAGCAAACTATGCCCTTAACATAACTATCCATGTTTTGGAAACAAGTTTTAAAAATTCCAAGGCCAAGTTGCCACTGGGTTAGTGGCAAGGCATGGAGCATCACAACTCTGCCAGGTTCCTCCAAGCAGAAGCTGGCTGTTTGATCTGACACCATGGAGTAGACTCACCTAAACAACTTACAAAATAAGGGCATTAGACCTTCACAAGTCGCTTGATCAGTGAAATTAAGTAATGCAGTGCCGCTTATTTGTTTAATGTTTCTTTAGATAAGGTGAGTTGACCACATTATTCAAGGATCTCTGGTGTAAGATAAAGCTATGTAGTGGTCTTGGTGTATGATCAAGTAAACTTGAAGAGCTTTTGTATCTGAGTGCAATTAACTTATTTTGACCTATGAGGAATATTGTGCTCGTATATTAATTATTTCCACACCTTTTGACTAGTGTTTTTTGTTCATTCTTTAGTTGTGGGTGACAAAACGTAACTGTACGTACTTGCACCCGTGGATAGACCATGACATAATCCATGATTTCTTCTGATGGAGTTTCTTAACTAAATTGATACCATCGATAATATAAAAAAAGTGCCCACTGCACACTCCTTTAACAGCTGTTGTACACATCTCTCGGCAAGAACAAAGTAGTAGTTGCACGACGAGAGAATTGTAGTGTTGTATAAATATTTTATTTTTCTAAAATCAGAGTGTTGGAAAATCTATTTATTTTTTTTGAGTGTTAGGGGGTAATGCTATGGTACTTCCTTTACTTATTACGATGTAATATCTCAAACAAATTTGAGCCATTGATTTTTTTTAGATTTTTTGAATTAATTAATTAATTAACCAAGGAAAATCAAAGGAAATATTATCAAATCCCCTTTTTGATTGAGGTGCATATGTGACAAAGGTTTAATGAATGATCCCACACTCTTTGCAGTATTCATAAAAAACGAAGAATAGGTATTCATCTCTATTGGACAATAATCTTTTATGGTCTTATCTAACTAGTTTTGAATTTCAGCCTTATATATACTAAAGAATATTTCTAGCTGTGGGTTCGGAGTAAGTAAATATAACAGAACCTAACAACAACATCTGTCAAGAAAGTATTTTATCACGTTATGTGATTACAGCATTCATGCATGTCACATATACCTAAGTTAATTAGTTCTAAAGGAGGTGTACTTCTACCCTCAATTGTGGATTGGATTCCTAGGTTGCTTTGGTTGCACAGAAATACCACACTTGGAACCTTTAACATGTTTATATTCAGGAAATGAAAACATGTTACTTAATCTTTTAATAACATATAAGTTTGCATGACATAAACGTGAATGCCACATATATCATTATTGAAATCATTATTACACAATCGTTTAAAATAGAAATATGGCACAAATTGCCTCGGTCATAGACTTTCCAACAAAGCCACCAAACTTAGACATACTACTTTATTAGGCTCAGACACTATAATTCTGGACCACATTATAGTAGCAGTGACACTATAGAGAGGTTCCACTTCATCGAGGGCACATAGAGCAAGTCACTACATGAGCATCTTGCCTCAAG